ATTTGTTCAGAATTTACTGACAAGGCTGCTGATTATATTTTTGGGTTATTTTTTTTTTTTCTTGGAAGAAGAATGCCAAGAAGACTTAGAGGCAAAATTCAGATGAAGAAAGCTAGGAGTAAGCTTAGTGAAAAGACATCTTGGAGCAGAATAACCATAAACAAAGTAAAACTGTAAAGCAAGGAAAAAAAAAAGAAAAAAGAAAAAGAAAGGACATGGAATTCTGAAGGCTTGTGCCAAGGCATAGAAAATGGAAGGCATGTTTTTAAGCACCAGAGGTAGAGGTCAACACTATAAGGGAAATCTGACTCTATTAACTGTGCAAAGCATAGCTGTTTCAGGACTGTGCCAGTGGCAGAAATCAGACTGCAAATGATCAAAGAGGCTGTTTTATGATGTAAGAAACATATACTACCTCTCATACACATAGTAAAAATGATCCAGGAACATTAACAGCAGTTATTCTGGAGTTAAACCCTTGTAGACCAGGCTAACTCTAAAATAATGCAAGTGTACGAGATCTTTAAAAGTTACACAACTTGCTAAGTGACAGGTATGACGAGAGAAACCCTCTGCTACTTTGGACCTTCCTCAAAGAGACGGTTTTCCTCCCATGAAAACACAGTTATAACTATGCAGATGTGGCAGATGTTAGTATATGAATATTTATAAATCCAGAGGATATTTTGGTCTACCTCACCAGGCATGTTAATATTTGAATAGATTAATCAAAGCATTGAGTTCACAAAACAAACTGTCCCCTCACCTCCTCTGAGATGGAAGTGGTTTGTACTCGGAATGATGCGATGCTCGAGGTACTCAGCCCCGGAGCTCGTGCCTCTATCACCTCACGGGGTACTTCCAAACCTTGTAAGGGAGTGTAGGGCAGCAAAATTGGGTTTCCAAAGGAGCCAGGGCATGGCAGAACCAAGCCCAACACAGTGTGGTGGTGTGTGGGCACTGCTAGCTCAAGGCTGAATGCAGGCTGGTCTGGTGGGGCTGTGCTGGAGCTTACAGCTCATCCCTCTGGGAATGACTTCCAGCATTCCCAACGGATTACAGGGGTAACTGGCCTGCACTAGGACCTGTAACAACAAAAGCCTCATGGCACAGCACAGCACAGTTTGACCTTCAGTCTTCTTGAACTCAATTGCACTAAGTCACTCTCCTGGCACCTAAAGCCAAGCACCACACATGGCCCCAAGCATCGGCCATGATGAGTTGGGTGGGAACTTCACCAATAAACCTGAAATGCATTTTTTTCATGGAACTATAAAAAAATTAGGGTTTGCACAAATAGTGGCAATACGACAAAACATTTTTAATCAGAACTGAACTAAGTTTCTTTTGAAGAAACGTTATGTATATGTCCACACACACACACAAACAAGGCATTGATGTTACTGTGGGAGGAATCAGAATGGCATTAAAGCAAGACTACATCTCAAACTGCTTTTTGTTCCTTAAAAGAAAGAAGAGGAGAACAGTGTTCTGTAAATGCCTATTCATCTCTACTAGACTGGAAAGTAACACACCTTTTGCCTTTTTATCAATTTCACGTGTATTTTGTACATCAATTTTCAAGTTTATAATTTCACATATACACTATACATGCACTGGCAATATATAGTGCTAACTCTGTCTTATTTTACAGTTTTAATGGTATCCCATGTGGATCAATGTTTTTAATAAGAAGAATCACAGTGGTCCTCAAGTAATGGAAAAATAATAGCATTATCTTTATTAAAATATTTTTTCTTTTTCTTTTAAGTGAGAAAGGGGCTATTAGTGGAAAATCCAGAAAAAAATATGGAAAACATCTGAGTAGGCTGTGTTTTCTCAAGGCTGTGAAAAGCTAGAAAGATCTTTGATGTGTCAGCTTTGACAGTTGTTTCAGTCCACCTCTGTAAGCATTGCAGCAGACAGCTGAGGATGTGACTGCTTTCCTCACCAGTCCCTCAGGTAGAGAACGAGAGAGCACTCCTCAAAATACTGCTTATTAAAATTAAATTGTGAGAAACACACTAGCATATTTTTACATGGGATACATATTTTGGGCTGAAATTTATCAAATCTACATTTAGCTGTGTAAAAGGCATTTGGCCTTAATTTTGGTCTCTAGGCTCCTTCAGTGCTGCTCCAGTGGGGGAATCTTCTCGCTTCCTTGGACATCTGTTTCAGCACATCTGGATTTCCCTCAGGATTGTCCATCTATCTCTACTAAGTACAAAGGAAGGGGAGCTGATGAGCTTTGATTACCTGTCCATATTTTTCAATTCCTTTGATCCAGCTGGGTTGATGCTCATCTACCGAAAGGCAGAGATTGCTGAGGGCTGCCCACATTTCTTCCAGTGGCCAGGGAGCACCCAGGACAGGAGCTGCTGGCATGAAGGACACCATGCACATGCTGGGAGCTGATTAAGACAAAAAGAGGTCTCCTGGTCTGGGGAAAATCAGCAGGTGACTTTTCACTGTTTGGGAAGTCACCATGAGAAATTGAAGAGGCTTCTGAAGCCATAAACACTCTGAAATCTCTGAAAGAAAGGGAATGTGAACTGAATGCAAAGAGGGAAATAGGATTCAAATAGAAAGAGGAGGAAATTTAGGGTCTATTTTAGATGACCAAGCTGTTGAACTGGGCATAACTGAGGTGGAAAACTGTTATCACCCAAAGGCCATATGACTGCTTTTGAATGGTGGTTACATAAAAGCAAACCTTAATGGGTACTATTTGGTTCCTGGCCTATTCTAGTGTAACTTTCATTACAAAATTGCCATTCAGGGCCTAGGAATATTTGTCATCCAAGAGCACATTGGAGAAATAGACTAATAATTCATATACCCATAGAGATCAAGGAACTGAAGTAGCATTTCAAGGAGAGGTAGGCGCTAGGTATGCATAGAAAGCCATTTACTTCTTTAAAAGCATTCAGGAATGGTTATCTTTAATCTGAGCTACTTCTGCTGAAAAATAGTAATCTGAATGAGCACCGAACGAAAGGCAACTTTAGACTTTGATCTCCATACATGTTTGTGCCACCCCATTCCTTGATGCTTTCCCATCCCCTGACACATGCTACTGGCTGATTTCCTTAAGAGCTGCTACTCTTCCCTGTCACAGCTGGGCTGTGATCCTCAATGTGCTACTATCCCAGAGCTGCAGACGGTGCTGGCACCACAGCCCTTCTTGCAACATTTAGGACAAGTAGAATTACTTTTAAGATTAAAGAAGGTACATTTAGATTGTGTATTAAGAAGAAATTTTTCCTGTGAAGTTTGGTGAGGTTGGTAAATTATTTACTGGCACAGGTTGCCCAGGGAGGTTGTTGATACCTCATAGTGTTCATGACCAGGTTGGATGGGGCTTTGAGCAACCTGGTTTAGTGGAAGGTTCCCTGGCCATGACAGGGGGTTGGAAGGAGACAATTTTTTATGTCCCTTCCAACCCAAGCCATTCTATGATTTTGTGATTTCCAGGACAGGCACAGGGCAACTTCTGCCACCTCATTTGATGGTGAAGTTGACAAATTACCTGTTCACTCTGGCTCTGAAAGTCCAAATGTGTCCTCCACGTTTTTGATCAGCAAAGCAAGGTCTCTCTGTTTGCCTCAGAAACCACCATACATCATTTGGAACACTAAGAGCACCAGCCAGCCCAGGACTTAGCACTCCAGCTTTACCCTGCAACCCTAATCTCCCAGCTGACAATGAAATGCTTCACTGCTGCTCTGCCAGGACGTAATTTTCCCTTCCACCCAGCAACCGGCATGAAGCCATTTGAAATCCCACTGTAACCCTGACAGGTGCCCGAAGCCTTTCAAGGCCAGCAGAAAGAAAAGACAGAGAGGGACTGAAAGAAAGACAGAAGGAGTATGCAAAGATTGGGAAACTACACTGAATTAGAGTTAATTAAACCCAAGCTTTGACAATGTTTAAATAACAGGATTCTACACCTAGCCCTGGAACGCCACTATGAGCTGTCATTTAATTTAAAAGAGCACAATAGCTAAATGTCAGTCTCCAGGCAGATCTTTTGCATCTTTCTGATACTGTATTAAAAAGTTATTATAAAGCAGAAGTTCAGGATCTTTTTTTTCAGAGTTTGATAATAGCCTTCTCAAACTTCCCATGGCAAACACTCAATACAGCATTTGTTCCTGTGAAACCAGGAGAGTTATCCTGGATAGCTCTAGGAAACCAAAAACCAAAATCTCAAAATCTCCTCAGCTATGTCTCAGTCTAATCTGAATGTAATAAGAGCAGAATATTTTCCTAGCAAGACAAATCATCTAATAGTAAAATGCTCCTAAAATAAAATCAGTTTATAAAAAAGATCTGAATCATCCTCCATTTGTAAAACATTTGATCAAAACTTAATGAATATTGTATTGCATGTTTTTAAAGAATAGTGCTAATACTCATTCAGGCTTTCATTTTCAACCTGCTTTAAGAAGGATGGCATTAATTTTCCCATATCCTATTCAGTGATGGTTCCGGATCTCTTTTTAACTGCTAGTTTTCAAAACTGTTTTCTCAGCTCAAATTTATTTGAATTAGCATTTCTAATCAAAATTGAAACAAACAGAAATTACGTACCGTATTTTAATATAAATGTCGACAAATAAATATTTCATATTTTAAGCTACTTTCTTGAAAATCGTGTATCTTCAATGAAATTGGGCTATTATTTATTCAGGTATTAAACATTTGAAATTAGTCTATATTCATATTTGGTTTTAATTGTAAATCTCATATAACTCACAAGAAGTCAAAAGCAGAAACATGCAAAATTATCAAAATTCTCAAACCAGTGCACAGGAGCTATATAGAAGAAAAATATTTAGTCTCTCAATAATGATCATAGTATCTTAAGAACAGCACTGCGGTTCTGATGACAAACTTGACACGGCTATTTGAATATGTTTTTGATGCAATAATTAAAATAAAGTCACAGAGGTGACAGAGATGTGTCAGATGACAGAGATGTGTCAGAGGTGACAGATGTGTCACAGAGGTGACACATGGCAAAGGTACAAGTTTAGAAGAGATGGTAATTTAGAAGCTTCTGACTCTCAGAAAACAGGAAAGAACCTTATTTTGCACTAGTCAGCTGAAAATACCACATTGGTGGGTGCCCTCCAGATATGAAACAGAGAATGGCAGCTGAGCTTCAGGTGATCTTGGTAAGATAAAAGAAACAGGACACCTGAGTTCAGCCAGGACAAGCAGAAATGTCATTGCCAAGGAGAAGATTCAAGTTGCCTGAGGATTCAGGTGGACACAACCTCTAGTGTAACATAGGAAGTGTGTGCATCAGCACTACCTGAGAATGAAGCACCCAGAATCTCACTGGGAATTTTGCTTTTGAGGCTATAGCTCCCTGATACCAACCCTTCTGGTCTCAGTTCCAAGTCCCTGCCCAAACCAAAACAATTTGGTGCGGCCCTGTCCCAGGGCCAGAGAAGCAAAGTCAGGGGGAAACCTTCTCTAAACACAATGAATGATCAATTTCAAGCTGACTGCTGGAGCCTGCATTCAAAGACAGGACAGGTTGAAAGCAGGACTTCTGCAAGGGTTGTTTTTGAAATTATGAAAATACTAGCAGAAGTTAGTCAAATGAGGTGGATCTGCATATTGTCTGATGGTAATACAGGCTGAATCTCAACCTTCCAGGATACATTTAAGTGCATGGATAACCCTCCCTGCCTTTTGGAGGCTGTCAGATGTTAAATAAATGATGGCCTGAAATAGAGAGTGCTCTTTGTGGGAGAGTGCAACATCGAACTCTTAGCAGCTCTCCCTCTCCTGCATACCTGAAAGAATTTCAGTGTTGTACTATAATATGATGGGGTCACTGACACACAACATTATTCCCACTGTGAACCACGGAGCTGAGCAAAAGGTGCTAGGAAATCAAATACTGTGATACAGGACAAATGACATTTCTAAGACAACAAATAACTCTTTCTTTCAATCTGGTGGGAGCAGAAGCAGAAAGGGACAACACACTGGGAAAAATACAGGAAATGAGAAAAGCCTGGGCTATTAATAGTTTCAGTACAAATTAAAACAGCACAGAGAGAAATATTTTTTCCCCTCTGCTGGGGTCTACTGCCCTACTAAAAATCTCATCCCTTTAAGCAGTAACCTTCACGGATCCTAACATGAGTCTAGATTTGCTTGTGTGACTCTCTCTTGCTGAGAAATCTGTCCTTCCTAATTACTTCTAGAGCAGTGACAAAAACCTTGTTGATCTGACCAGACAAATTCTGGCAAGTAAAACATTCAGAAGTGTAACTATGAGCATGCCGACTGCTGAGAGATGGAGATGATAATAGCACTGTTGATAACAATAAAAGGGACATAGGGAAGAATAAGAACTTAATTTTTGGCCATGTTCCATTTAAAGCAACTACAAAAGACATCGAAAAGAGATGTCAGAGGCAGAGATTCTGACAAGACATCTAAAAGGAGATGTCAAAGAGGTAAGGGGCTGCTTACAGAGATTTCAGTACCCAGCTGAAGCAATACAATCTTCCTTCTGGACTGTCTCCCCAGAGACAGAATATAGATATAATGATAAGGAGTTTTTTTTTATTTTAATTGAGGAGGCAGGACAGCTCAAAAGTATCTTGACATGATATATTTTTTCTTGCAAAACCTTGTATTAGGAAGTGTGTTGCCATCAGAAGCAAGTACTCTTTCCCTTTTCTCGAGGGAAAATATGCAGTGGTTCTGTGGTTTATTTTGGGGAGACACACCACTGGAAATGCTTCAGTGCTTTACTATTCATGCTTTAAATAAAAAAGATAAATTTCCATCTCTTTACATCTTTGAACATTGGATCAGTTGCGCTTGGTCTAGTCTCTGCAGTCTGTTACAGCACTGTAAGATACATGTTCAAATACAGGTCCTTAGAATCATAGCCTAGATCTCCTTCCTCCCTGCCTCTTCCCCATTCAGAGGCATCGAGGCTGTTGTAACTTGAACACTGTCAGCATTTCAGATGACTCTTCATTTTAATTTATTGATATCATGTCTCTTCTATTTAAAAACAAATGTATGAATACCACCACCCTCTTTGAAGGGGCTTGCTGCTCTTCCAGGTCACCATATGGCTATCAATTTAATTTCTCCCCTGCTCTTAACACATTTGAGGTAATTCTGAGAAGATTTGAATATTTATTGATGAGGAGAGTGAGACTAGGGCATGGATATGAGGGAAGAGCATTGAGGAGGCTGTTTGTGAGCCTCAGTGTACTGCAAGAAGCTTTCCTCAGCAAGAGACTCAGGATGACTGTAACAGAGACCAAGTCCCAGGAGTATCAGTGATTTTGGGGTTTGCTTCTCAGAGATAGATAATTGGTAGTGGCTTGTGCCTTTCCACATATTCGCCTAATACTTTTTGGGAAGATTCAGAACATTTCTTTCCTCAGTTTGTTCTGGAGTGAAGATTAGTCTGTTCCCAGGACTAAGCCAATGCCTTCAAAAAATGTGGGTTAAGCCCTTCCTGCACAGGAGGTGCTGATACAGCCTCATGCCAGTGCCTGGATGCAGACCAAACTGATAAGCATCAGTATAAGGAACAGTGCCAGTGACAAGAAAAGCAAATGTACATCCCAGCGGATGAGAAGTTAGTGATACAGAGGTACCTCTTACACATGGCTACATTCTGGGGAACCTCCCTTGCAGTACAGAGACTCTGTGTGTCCTTCATACACCTTGGGAAGGAACAATTTATTTTCCTGTCTCTAGAAGAGTCTTTACATATACTTTCAGTTTCAGTTTGTCCTATCATTCTTCTACTTCGTCTTTCCAAGAAAAATGTCAATGCCTTCTGGACTCTTCTGCAATGACAGTTTAAACAGGAAGAAAAAGTTTCTTAGAAAATCCAAGGAAAGTACTCTCTGTTCTCCACTTGGTACAGCAAGGAAACCCTGTGATGCCCACTCAGCTGCTCTAACAGAGTTTTCCATATACCATGAATGTACAATGTAGCATGTAATTTTTACAAGAAAATGGTCTTTATTTTCAAATACCATTTAAAAATTAAAAATATACACCCATTTAACAGAGATTCTGTTACTAACCATAGGAATATGCAGCACATTGGGGAGCACCATGCCACAAAGCCTTTTTGTGATTTTTCTTTCAGTAATTCTCCACTTGCAACACAAAATTCAGTATTTCAGAAAATGCAAATGCTGCTGAATTAGTGGTTCTGTGGCACTGGAACACCCCCTGAGCAGTATTAACAGACAGCCCCCCACAAAGACATTTTCAGTAACTGTGTTTTACTGTAAAGGAGTTATAAAAGATGCACTGCTTGGATTCTAGTCTTTGCTAATAATATCCAATATATATGAAGAGAATTAAACGTTTAAACTCAGGGATGGGGGATTAAAGGATATCCATGATGAATGGGCTGTAGAGCTGAAGAGAATTTGTTGTACATCCTGACCGATATAGCAGTGAAAGTAATCAATCCATTACCTCTCTACTGAGAGAAATGGAGGAGAGATAAGAGGATAATGAATGCCAGGCACAATACTGATAAGAAAGACACTTAAAATGACCAGCCAGAATATATTCCATAGTTAATAGTGCTGACAAAAACAGTGACAAAGTAATAATTTATTCATGGAATAAGAGCCATTCCTGTGAAAATCAAGGTAGCATTTTAAATTAAGGCAACTATTGAAACCAGAGTAGCCTTATTAACCAGTAGCCATAAATGAAATATTGTAGAAAAGAATACTTTTAAGGGCTTATTTTGCCATTAACACATGGGCTAAATTGCAAAATCCTGTTACTTACAAATGCAGATTTTTTTTTCTCCACCAAACCCTTCTGGCTTTTTCCTTAACCCTTTTCTTTAATGTAATAAAAATTCATATGAAGCTCTGCATATTCACATGCAGCTTGAATGGCTAATGCTTTTGCCCATGCTGACATGCCCTCATCCTAGAATCTTCTGAGAGGCTGACCTAGATTTTGAGTCCTAATAATAACACTGAGTATTTCCAGGACTAAATTTAAATATATTTGATGATTTAAAAATGCAATGCTTAATTAAGAAACCACACCTATCCAAAAACTATTAGTTTTTCTTTCTCTGTGCCTGAAGATTGTGCAGTCGGAACATACTGTGCAACATGAAGTGTGGGAGATATATAAGGAACAGCAGCGACTGTGTTGAATGACATAAAATCTGCGTCTGCTTCAAATGGCTGAGGTTATGACTAAGAACCAGGCTGTTCCATCCTGAATTTCTTTTCAGATTTCATTATACCATTTCCTAAATGTCTATACTATTCCTAAGAATACTTGTGGTAATTGGAAACTGAACCTGTGGCCAAGTACCCTGGTTTTCCTGGTACACAAACCAGGTTTCTGTGTGGTACACAGATCACAGCCTTCTGACCTAAAAGGCTGTTATAAAAACTTGAAAATTAGATTTTCAACAAAAATATCTTCGAATTATTTCAAGAACCTCTTTTTCATATTTCAGTTGTGGTGCCAGACAGAGATGGGTTTAGAGGGTTTATCGCTTCCCACAGACAGTAATTTTCTCCCTCTGTGTCCATAACAGATACACAGCAGTACTGTCAGATTTTTTGTCTCATCTTAGATAAAACTAAAACATAACTTTCAGGGACTTAACAACATTTTTAGTATTCTATTTTTATATAAAAGCAATTTTATGTATCCATTATAGATACGAAATAATCTATGCTAATAAATGTGCCCATCACAAATCCTGTCCAGGCAATTACATTTTCCCACTTCTTTCTAATAACAGTGGTGGGAAGATATTGTAAGCCTAAAGTATTACTTAATCAGGTCCTTGACTGCAAAGTGTTTCAGGGAGAAAACAGTCATTAAATTAGGTAAAGGCTTCTTTGGTGGGCAGCACTGAAATGCTTAGAGGACAGAGGAAATAGTCTTTAATATACATACACAGTATCTCCTGTTGCAGTAGAGCTCATGGAGCAGGCGGCTGCAAGATGGAGCAAACAGGCTTTAGATCCCCCAGCTGACTGTATTAACCCCCAGACACTGAAAGCAAAAAGAGGGCTCACTCGCGACTCCGAGCACAAAACAGACTTTTATTCAATTCCATCTGAGCTCACGCAGAGATAGTGACAGTTTTCTCAAAAGGGAACACAACTCGCCTTCTCAGCTCCTCAGTGTCGGTAACGAGCCGCTCTAATCGCCTTAGAGTGGCTCAAAATAACTGGGCAAAAGAAATGCTGCTAAAAAACCTGCTGAAGTAACCCCTGTTTTATGCTGAAACTCTGCTACTTTGTTGTGCTCTGTTCCGGGTTTTCCACATAGAATTCTGCCATGTTCCCATGGGTAGATAGGGTATTTTGAGAGACCTAGTAATTCTCTTAGGCTCCCAATATCCTGACTGATCACTGGCCCCCATGGCTACAGAGCCTTCAAAAACCTGAATATTTCATCCATTTGTACCCTCAGTTGGGGATTCAGAAAGCAACTGATAGACCCTTCCCACCTTCCCTCCCACACCCCTCTTCTTTCCCTCCTACCACCCTTGTTTCCTGCCTTTCCCTATTTTTTTTACAAGAATCTTGTATAACTTCTGCAGCTCTTATCCTTTCTTGCAATGGCAGAAATAGGAAATATGGGATTTTGTGGATTCCAAGGGGAATTCCATCAGTTTTCCCTGTATTGCAGGAATAATTTTCACAGTTTCTAAAGAAGATACAACCCCTCATCACAAAGACTGCTGTAAGGGAATTCCGTCCAGAGCACAGGGCAACCATCTTCTCAATACAGAGACTTGGAGCAAACAATCTCTATGTGGATTATTTAAATTCATGAGGTATGAAATCACGTCTCAAAATGAATGTGGCCTTTTCTGGTTTACTTTGAATGTAAGTTTTGATATGATTGGGAAGAATGTTTGAAACACTTAGTGCTCATCAAAACCAATTCACTGACAATGGTTTCCAGCTTACAAAGCAAGACATGGAATATGAGAAAGAAATTAAATGAATAAAATTAAAATGTCAGCAGAGAAAGTAACTAATCTCCATCAAGTCTCTTATGTAATCCAGACCATTTTGCTGCTGTTATTATTCAAAACCCTTAGGGAACCAAGGATCTAGGTCATCTACAGGATAAAGAATGTACTATCCAGGAATCAATATTCACAGTAGTAAATTAAATTATAGTCCTCTCCATGCAAAGAGTTTTATTATTACAAGGAGTGTTGACAATTCAAACTCGACAGGAAAAAAAAATCTAAGCTATCAGACAACTTTTTCAGTATAGCATCTCCCTATATACCATGCTGTCACTTAAATTGTCAATAATTCTTTAACTTTCTGTGAAATAGGATACAGCACTTTCCCAGTGAGCATATGGCTACTATAATGATTGGCTTTGATAAGCCACTGCATCTGTTAATACTGACAAAGTTATATTGCCATTAGCACTAAAGCAACATCAGCACCATGGATGGGGCATCTGAGACATCCTACAACGTGCAATTGTCATTTGCAAATGAGAATTTTAACCACAGTGGTGTGATTACAGAATTTCCAATGCCTAAAACATGATAGAGAAGTTGATTTACAGGAATGCTTGTAAACCAGGCCTTGCAGCATTAGGAGCTGTCATTAGCTGCAGCATCTTGGTGTAGTCTCCTACTGTTTCTTCCACTTTTTGGTGGTCAGATTGTATTTACCTATGACTAACACACCGATTTCAGACACTGCCCAGATGTAAAAGTCATATCTTATAATAGTTTTCAACCTAATTGAAGTTGATAGCATATGATTTGGAACTGAAGGCAATTGTATAACGTGTAGCTAAGCAGTCACATTTCTGTTTTTAAACCTCCATAGAAAAGCTTCTCATTTCATGGTACATTATGAATCTCATTCACTGCATTAACTGATGAGGAAGGCAGACTGGTTTGATTGATTGCTTAAACTGGCAGAGCTCAACTCATCTTAACTGCACACTCCAGGGCATTCATGTGCTGCTCTGCACTGCACCCGGGGCTGGCATAAGCCCTGCAGCCTCCTTTGAGCCAAACTGAAGCACAAGATACAGAGCTTCCACCTTCCCTCCCTAGCATCATGCTGTCTCCTTTTCTAGCAATGGCCACAACTGTTTCCTTTTACTCAATTTCTCTTTGTAATCTGGTGAGAAAAAACAAAACATGTAGATAAAGGGGAAATATTGCTAAAGAAATGCAGCACTATTAATTTATAAGAATCGGCTAATTCCCTTTCTCAAATCTATATAATCCCACACAAAAGCCTCTATAAAGTCACATAACAATGATACTTTGGGGAAACTTCAGGAATCTGAAATTCAGAAAACTGTGAAAACAGAATGTTAAGATTGGACTTAAGGAAGGAGAGGAAGAATCACTTCATTTTTAGCTCAGCAGTCATGCAAGGTTCCAATACATCCAAGTGTTGAAGTCACAGTTTGCTGGTTTATTACTGAACACCCGAGACTCAGCTTGCACTGAAAATTAGGAAGGTTTTCCCTAATTGTTTCCCAATTGTACAGATGACAACACATAACTACAATTAATATATTCTTCTGCTTAACTCAGAAGGTGGAAGACATTACTATGAACCACTGCTCCTCTTGCCAAATGAACCAGCAGATGCAGCAGGCCCAAGAGATGCTGAACCTTCTGATCCCAAAGACAGCCAAGTTGTCAAGATGCTTCAGCAGCATCAGATGCCTTTGAAGGAACACAAAAGCACCAAGCACTGCATATCAACATGTGAAACGGGCTTTCACATGCCACTCCAGCCAAAAGCATTTGGGAAATAAACACATGCCTGTCCTTCCAAGTGTGTATTATCATCTCGCTCTTCTTTCTGTAGTGCTCCTCCACCATTCCCTGAAACTGCAGGACCCACCACACCTGTCAGAACAAAGAGCTTCTATCAAGTGCCTCTGCTGATCACAATTAAAGTGGCACAAAAGAAATATTTTGAAAAATGGAGAAAGGAGGGAGCAGATGGAGGGAAGTAGGAGCGGGCGGTTCACTTCTGGCTGCTTCTCCTCAGCAGTCAGATTGCAGCCGTAACGATGGCCTTTCTTTCCAGATCTGATTCTAACCAGATGATTAAATATCCCTTTTGGCCACTGCAATCTCCTGCTGACTGAGATCTCCCCTGGTTATAGATGAACTATTCCTTAATCATAAGGGAAAAAATCCCCAAAGCTGCTGCATTCTGTAGAACTCTCCATCCACCTATTTGCTGAGAGCAATGCAAAACAAACAAATAAAAAACCAAAAACATAAAAATCAACCAAACAAAAAAGTTAAAGTAAAAAGCCCTTGCACATTAACCTACCTGGCCCACGAAACACATGTTTAAAAGACCATCATAAAGGACCATTATTATGTTTGAGCAAGCAGCACAATGTATTGCCAGAAGACAACTGATGGAAAACGCTGAAGAGCAGCCAGAGCTGTCCAGAATCCAAATCCTACTCCTGTTTTATCCTCGCTTTATCAAGCCCAAATCACATTCCCTCCAGCTCTCTCCCTCCCTGTCTCTACACACATTGAGTTAACAAAAAATTTCTTGTAGCTGTTAATGAAAGCTTATAGCCTGCAATATACTGTTGAGCTGCCCTGATTCTATCTAATACACATTTTATTATTTCAGGATTAATAACACGAACAACCGACAACACTACAATATACTTACAAGGAACCTTAATTTGAAGATTGCAAAGGATATTACAAGAGACTGAATAAGTATTAATATGTCTTTGTCCCTGGCCAGCAGAGAACACTGATACACACACAAACAAAATTCATTTGGGATCTGAACAAAGACTCCTCAGCTCTGAGTGAGCAGGGTGTCCATAAGCCTACTCGCATACATAACTTTAATTATGTATTAAGTGCACCTCTGCCCCATGGCTGAGGTCAGTGCTCCAGGCAGGAACTAAGCAGGCTTAGACAGTCTGGGGTGGCTCCAGTGGGCCGTGCCCCACAGCAGCAATCCTGTGCTCACCTGGCAGTACTGCAGTAACCCTGTTTTACATGTTTCTTGTACATTTTATGGATTATACAGTTGAAACCAAGGTTAGACTATGGCTTTACAGTCAAGAGTTAAACGTACAGCATTCATTTATTCTTCTATGCCTTAGGTTTTATCAGAAAGGTCTGATTAGTTATCAGTGCCGATGCCATGTGAATTACATCAAGATGAAGAATTTACATGAAAATAAGTCATCAGCACTTTGTGCTGAGTTCCATATGACTTCACAGAAAATGATAACCTTCCTATATAATTTAAAATTTCCCCTTTAAAATCTCTTTACAGTATTCTATAGAACAGATGAAAATGTTTCCCTTTCCTCTTCTCATTCCCCCACCACAAAAACACAGAAAAGGATGTTATTCTCTATTAAACAAGGTAACCAGATAAGTTTACAAAAGCACACATACTTTTAAAAGAAACTCGTAATTCTTATAATCCAATTGGACTGCAATAATGTATAATTTTATGGGCCTTATCTATATGATCTTATACATTAGTTTAAATGTGCAAATACTTGCAAGCTAAAATGACCATTTGGAGCACAGAAATTGCAATATATTAGTATAAACTTAGATCATAATATGGCTGAACTGCAATTTCCTTCTTTATGTGTAAAAGAGAAATGTAACTTACGTTCTGAATTTGAGTGAAATGATCCAATGATACAATACTGAATTGTACATCTGCATACAAATACAAAGTTTCATTATTTTTACACTGAATTTCTTCATCTTTAACAGCATTTATATGAGATTTAAACCCAGGTAATTTCTCAATACTTGGAAACAGTCTCCCAGGATGATGAGACTCAAACATGTGTTTAATTGTGCACTTTGCAGACCACTTTAAGTGAGCATTTCAAGTTACTGTCATCAGCAGATCTCCCATTTCCAAAGGAAGCACACACTCCATGCCCACTGGCTGCTCTATGGACACATTAAGTATCTGCATAAATCATTGCAGGACTAAGGTCCAAGTCAGTTTGGAGTTCAATTACTGACTGAAAGCTTTCTTTTCTGCAATAAACTAACGCTCAGCTCATTGAAAATGAACCCCAAACCAGACAAACAACATTTGGAAAAAAATTCAGCTGGTCTAAACCTGTTGTACCACAGTATGATAACTCTAAAATGGCCATAGGGAACATGGCACATTTGAGAATGCATCACCATAAAGCAAGCAAGGACCCACTCTACAGGCCAAAGCCCTGAAGGGAGCTAGTTTTTTCCTGAAACAATTATAAATAGCTTAAAAAACCCCAAATTGCGTATGAAAATGCCTCCTATACAGCCATCCCCACAGCACTGCTAATGTGCTGCTGTAATGCTTTCTGTAAATGGTTATAATTTCATCTTGGCATATCAAACACTGAGTTCAGTCATTTACTTCAATTAATTTAAATGTGGTTACAAATAAACATTTGAAAAATATAGGAAAAATGCTACTTTATTTTTCAGTTTTAGACTTCAATTTTGCCTTTATGCACGTCTTCCTGTTCTTCCCCCAGAGAGGCACATCCTCCTCTCCTCAATTTTCTATGAGACTTGTCACTCTATTACTCTTAGTCTGGACTTGGGAGATAATAGGGCAAATTTGACAAAAACCTGTGCAGGAAATGAACACTCATTCATTTATTAGCGAGTCTCACTGGGAACTATTAAACTTGTAATAAAAAAGTTATCGAAAAGAACAAACCTACTGAATTAGAAACACAGATGTTGGTGATGTGTTCAGCTTTTTCACTAATTCCCCACAGATTGTTAATGGACAGCATTGCTCTGAGCCACAGGGAATCAAGGAGTTAACACTTAAGGTTGACAGGGAGAAATTATGATCCCACTATACAACATTACTGGCTCAGTATTGCTGCCAAGGGGCAGCAAGGGTTGGGGACCAGTGCACTAGTCTTACTGCATAATTATAATATTACGTTTCACCCCATTTCTGGGAAATCCTGAGGCTCCACACAAGGTGTAGGTGACTGCAGCAATCCAGAGATAAGCACCCCTGACTTTGGGAGTCTCATTTCCCTAGCCTAGGAGTGATTACACAGTGTAATTGGAGATGGTTAGTGGAGGTGTGTGGATCTCTGGTAAATTCCTGGTGTAGTACTTTGCCACCTGCATTTTCAGTTTTCAGGATGAGTACGTGAAATACTGAGACTGGGTGTCTTGGGAGATTTTATCAATATAAATAAACAAAATATAGTTTGGAAAGCAAGTTTGAAAATAGTTTTCATGTTCAATAATAAATTACTTTTTAAATATTCATGCATTTTATGATTAATGCTATTAGCTGTTAATTAGCTAAATAAATACAATTAACTGTGTGAATTTCTCAACCTTCCTATCGGTTGCTTAGATAAACAGTTACATAGTGAATGCTTTATTACGTACATAAAAATGTCTCATGTTATAATGCATAAGTACATATTGATGCTGCATTTCTTTGCTGTGATATATGCATTAAGTCCCAGGCCACTTTGAAAAGAAACTACAGATCTTAATAATTTATGTTCCAAGTTTTAGCCAGGATTATCAATGGTAGATTTTGAGCTTTTTCTTTTAGTAACATAATATATCATAGTAAAAATGCACAGACAAGCGATGTGTCAGTTTGAATTTTTCCACCTGATTCAGCAACCCAAAATTCAGACACAGCAGTTTAAGCGGAGTTGCACACTGAAGAATTTAAGTCTAAGCATTTAATCTGTTCTTTCCATAAATTTCTGCTGCTTGTGCTATTATAATGATGTTACCAGAGGAAGTTTATTTATATCACAGATTTTCAGCATCAGCACATTCAGAATACAACAGCAATCATTCATTCAATAGCTAACAGCAATGTAATAATATCATCACTAACACTCTAAATATCAAAAGAACATTTAGAGAAAAGACAACGGAAAATAAAGTCACTTTGAACAATCAGTAACACGGGATTCACTAAACCCAGAATGTATGTTTTAAATACATGTACAGAGAAGACAGCCCAGAAAAAATTAGCAATTATGTGCAGCTATTTTGGAGCAACAGGTTGCATATAATTAAACAATAATAAATAAGGGGATCTTTTATGGGCCCATTAATAGGAACACACACTCTAGAAAGCAGCATTTAAAGATCTTATGCCGTGTGCATCCCAAAACACCTAAAGAGATTTTGTTCATGAGCAAACTATAGCCAGCACGACTGTAAAGCAGCAGGGGCAAACCTGACACCGATCTGTCTAGACTGTGCACAACAGGATCACCCTATGCAAACATGAAATGCCGAGCCCAGTGGTGACAGGTATGAACCAACCCCTCCTTTTTTTTTGAGACTACGCACCATAGCTTCTTTTTTTAACAGCCTCAGATCTATCATGAAAGCTCTTCTCCCCGCTGTTCCTAATGTATATTGTAAAGAGCTACCGAGAACAGCACTTTAAGAAGTCACTTGTCATTCTCTCTTCCCTCCCCTGCCTGCTTCCCCAAGTATTTAGATAATAATGGACCTGGTTAAAATCATAAAGTCCAAGAACATACTGCTGAGGGTTCAAAAGGCTAGACCTGTAAAAGCACAGATAAAGACTTCTATTGAAAATGATGTTAACAAAGCGATACTCTTAAGAGGTGAAGAAGTGGTCAATCCTGCATGATGCTATGTTTTAAAAGAAAAAGTAAATGATTTCTCCTTATTTTTTGCAGTGTGTGTGGGTGTGAGTGTGTGGTGGAAGGAAATGCTCTTCAGAAAATGAATGGGTGAGCACTGAGAAGGGCAGTG